CCCCAAAACCCCAAAACCCCAAAACCCCAAAACCCCAAAACCCCAAAACCCCTGCTCTTTAATGAATATTGAAAATGATAATATTTTTTATGGCAAACTCAGGCACAGATCTTAAAAGATAGTTCACTTGCAACAACAAGTTGTTTGAGTTTTCTTAGCTTTGTTTTTCTTAGGCCTCTGTAACAAGCGAGCTTTCCTCTTGATGCCATACAATACCATATCATTAGGCGGAACCCTAGAAATGAAATGAGTGGGCTAGAAAGGAGCTTACATATCATCTTCAAGTTTGTCCAGCCTCTCATGAGAGTTTTCGATCTGAGATTCAAGTCTTGAGGCTTCATCTCCTAACTCTATCTTCTTAATGAATTCTTGGCACTGTTCTTCAACTTCTTCTTCAAGGATTCCTAAAGATTTATGAGATAAATGGCTAAGAGCATTTCTAAATGTCTACTGCAGAAGTACTTTTGAACGGAATATATTTCAAAGAATCTGAAGGATTCAGTGAGATACCATATTTCTTCACCAACAACATTTTATGGAATTTTAGAAAATTTCTAAAAATTTATGGGTCAAAATGTATACGGTGAAATTTAAGGATAACAGCCTTTTCGTGATTTACCTTTGGAGCTAGATCTTGGTTCTACAGTATTTTGAATGATATAATCAAGCATTTCGAGGTGAGCTACGAAATGATCATTTTCTTGGAAATCAGTCTCTAGGACAGACCCGAGATGGATATACCGCTCCTTGATATCAAATCCTATAGCATAGTGCAGTTTTCTTAATCAGACTGGACAAAGAAGGAAGGGCTTTAAGTCGCCTTCTTGCATACGATTAGTGCCATTCATCAAGCATTCGTTGACAATACAGTGTCTTACTCCGAACATGTGAACGATTTCATGTGTAATAGTCTTACAAGCTCTGTGAAGGATGAGCTTTCTTGTCTCTTCATCCTTCTCACTAATAGAATCTCTGCTCTTAGGATTATACTTGTTGCTAGGCTTCTCAAATTCTGGGTCATATCTTGCAAAAGAGAAAACACCTGTTCTTTTCCTGACTCTGGCACATCCAAAGACGAATGTCCAGTTAGGCTTCGGGTACAAGTCCTTGTTGATGATGCCAATGATTCAGTAGGCGTCTTCAGGAATATATTTCTCCATCAGGAGATCTAGCAAGTCTGTTGCTAAATACTGAACTTTATTCGTATCTTTCCTTTTTCGAGACGTAATATTAAATTTCTTCAAACTGGTGGGAACATCAATCCTCTCTTGTATAATCTTCACATCGAGCCCATGGAAGAAAGCAGCACAGTACTTTTGGAGTTTCTCAAGAGCATCATCGGGGATATCATTGTCCATACACATGATGTAGACAACATTCTTATTCTTGGAGACCCTGTTCCTGCTCTTAGTCCTCACAAATTCCTGAAAAGATTGTCCTTTTTCCTTCTTATTGTTCAGCCAATCTTTCTTGGAGTACATCTTCTTCAGGTCAACTACCTTCTGAAGCTGTTCATAAGTAGACATGTTTTGGAGGTTCAGCTTAATGATACTCTGGATGTGATACTTTCCATAGTACTTAAGTAATGCTTCATACGAGGATAATTTATCACTATTTTGTTTGCTAATTGTCAGACCTTCACATGGACTATTATCGGTTTGTTTAATCTAGAATGTTTAGTAATCAAAATACCATCTTAATAGAGCTTCGGATGATCCTTGAAAACGGAAAATACTTGATACTGCTAGGTCCAAGAGCTCTGACGGCCTCCTGAATGGTGCTGATAGTCTTCCCTTCAACGCCTTCATGGGCGATTGTGGGAAGAGAATGGTCACTTTGATTTAGAATATCATCTTGGCCACCATCAGCTCCATTTTCAACTCTTACCTAAAGGAAACTTTAACTTCTCTTTTTTTGGGTATTAAGACACATTAAGACATTTTAGAATTTAATATGTCCTAATAAACTGTTAAGTAAGCCACTCTTGTAGAAAAGTAGTCTCACAGTTAATAGATAATGAAGAAGGAAGAAAATAGACTTTAACTCTAAAATTTCATGAATTTCTCAAACTAGAAATCTCTGAGCCTTATCAGACTACAAGAGTCGAATTGAACCCTTCATGAGACCGACCAATAAAAGTCTAATTGTCTACTTACGTTCATGTTTAAATATTATACAATATTAGTTATTTTTTCTGGGGTTTTGGGGTTTTGGGGTTTTGGGGTTTTGGGG